TAGAATAAACACGCACAAAAGATGTGGTCCGTATAGGGTTAGGTAGATGTGATGGTTGGTAAAGCTGGCGTGGGTTAGTCTCAGGAGTCAACAGAGGTCTCAGGCTGGATAAGTCGCGGTGAAGTTTGGTGTGAAGTCCGAAGTTGAAGTGATTAAAACAAAATTTTCGCGGTCATTTATACGGTTGATCGGCCTAATTACACCACCAGCTGTCGCACAACAGCTGTTGCATAATGACCTATGTACTTCGCGGAGCTAACAAAGCGATCGGTAAAATCGATTAACGTGGTAACAGATGTTCCCACACTTAACGCTGGCTTCGCGTTAATTACCATACCTCCCGGTGGGATCGCTTCGCGAACCCACATAAATCAATGACGGGTGTCAAAAAATTTAATTAGGTGGGCTATCAAGTTGATGATGGTCCAGTGGGTGTGACCAAAATTAACTCGGACAGTGTACGGTCCCTCACAAAAAGAAAAACTTTGCTGGTGAATCGATACGTGCCGGGTGCCATTAGCGAGTAACAGGTGTTGTTAATGTATGTTATTCACAAAGTACACGCTAACGCACCCCTACCCTCAAACCCCATCATTACTCCCCCTCTCATCCACCAACACCCCTATCCGTTTACTATTAAACATACATACAAGTAAATAAACAAACCAACAAATTAAACAACAAAGAAAAGAAATAAACAAATTAAATTTTAAAATCAAACTAATTAAAAGCAAAATACGTAACTAGTTAATAAAAATTAATAAAAATAATAAATTAAAATTACAAAATTAAAATTTAAAAAATTAAACTAATTAAAAAATCAAATTTAAATAAAAATCAAATTAATTAAACTTATTAAAAATAAACAAACAAAACACAAACAAAGTAATTAACATCAAATTAATTCAAAACAAACAAAAAACCAAATTACGTAACTCGTTAATAAAAATTACAAAACAAAATAAATAAACAACTATAAAATTTAAAAAACAAAATAAAAATAATTAAAAAGTAAACAAAGTAATTAAATTACGTAACTAATTAAAAAATTAATTAAAATTTAAAAAAACTCATTAAAACTAATTAAAAACTCATTAAAATTACGTAACTAGGTCAATGATTACGTCATAATGTTACTAATTACGTCACAAGGTCACCGGTGGTGACCTAGTGACCTACTCCCGCTCCTGCTCACCCACCCTAGGGTGGGTGAGTATTTTACTATATCTCATTGTACATCCTGCTCACCCACCCTCACCCACCTGCTCACCCAGGTGGGTGAGTATTTTACTATATCTCATTGTACATCCTGCTCACCCACCCTCACCCAGTTGGGTGAGTATTTTGCTATATGTCGGTGTACCTCCACCTCCCCCAGGGAGTATTTTACTATATGTCGTTGTACATCCGCATCACCCACTCCACCCAGGTGGGTGAGTATTTTGCTATATGTCATTGTACATCCGCATCCGAGTATTTTACTATATAGCCTTTGCTCCTGCTCCTGCTCCTGCTCCTGCTCCCCTCACCCTGCGCCTGCGCCTTCGCTCCAAAAGGGACCTTATATACTACTTACGCCATCCCTTAAGAGTTATGACGTCAGGCGGTCTCGATGAATTTTTATTTAAATCTACATTTTATTTTTCAAAGACTAGATTTGGGGGCTCCTGATATTTTGACACACACGATTGCTCAAAAATACTAGTTCGTTTACTGTCAACCTACAATTCAAGTTTTACAAAAACGAACGACAAAGTTAGAAACATTGGAAAAGTTCTTGTGTTACATAACAGTTCTAGAACTCAGTCGTGGAATAACTGGCAGGCGGGTCACGTGGTAAAGAGCAGCCGACACGTGCGAGAGCTCGCGTCTGCTTGTAGTTGATGCGGCATCCGCCTCAACCGACTGTCGTACTTTCAAACTGACAAGTCAATGAGGTGTCGCGTCAAAACAAATTTACTAGCTTAGTTCTGCCATCAGTTAGCGATACGTCTACTGCTAAATTCTTCGAACTGTTTTATAAAGCGATGGAGTCAAGTTTAAGTTTTTTAAAAATGTTTTTGTATGTTATACTTAGAATTGTGCGCCGAATTCGTAAGTTGCATTTAATAATTAACTACCCTGAGTCAATAACTTTAATTAAAACCAATTAAAAATGTGTATGAGCTACCCCTTATAAATAATACAGTCAAAGGAATCACAGGTTCTCACAAGCTGCAATTTGTTAAGGGGGGGGGGTGGGGTGGGGGGGAGGGGGGGTCTTTCGAAAATGTTACTTTTTGGTAGAGATGGGTGTGTGCGTTGAAAGGGGGGGGGGGTGGTGGTGACTGTGACTAATCGCTACGGGGAGGGGAGTGAGTGTTAATTAAGATAATTAAAAGTAGCAATCCTATTGTATTTCTCTGAGTTAAAATAAAGAAAATTTGTATTTGAAGTATGGCTTTTTAAAGTGAGTTGACTGCTTTTGGTGACGGTATATAGGGGGGGGGGAATGGAATGTTGGAAATGGCTTTAATAACTTAACGTCATTTAAGTAGGTTTACAAAATAAAGGGTTATGAAGGGTGGGGTGTGCACATGTTCTGTTTTACCCCCACCCCTCCCCGGCAGTGTTTCTTCCAGACTTTTTTCTCCGGGGGGGGAGGGGCACTTGACATTTTGGGGGGGGGGGGGGGCGGTCAACATTTTTCGGGGGGCGGACACTAGTAAAAGTGTATGTTTACTATATAAAATCCATCTCGTTCGGATAAGCGGGGGGGGGGGGGGGGGTAGACTCTCTTCGGGGGGGGGGGGGCAGAGCCCCTTTGAAGAGATGCCTGGAAGAAACTCTGCTCCCCGGAGAAATTGTGCAGTCAACAGAATCAAATATAGGAGACCGTTATCAGGCTATCTGTGGCGTGATGACGTAATACTACTTTGTTCCGATTGACTACGCTTGTCGAGCCATCAAACACGTCATTCAGTTAATTACTCCAAATTAATCCACAAACTATACGTTTCACGATGTTCTAAAATCTAAATGATACCCTTCAAACACCGTCATTCAGCTAATTACTCCAAATTAATCCACAAACTATACGTTTCACGATGTTCTAAAATCTAAATGATACCCTTCAAACACCGTCATTCAGCTAATTACTCCCAATGACTCCACACAGTGGCGTAGGTAGGGGGGTTAGGGGGGGGGTCATAACCCCCCATAGACCCCTCGGTATATATATAAAGTATGAGGGGGTGCAAATCAAAAGTCTGAGGGGGGGGGTGCAAATCGAAAGTTTGTCCCCGGGTAAAAATTGGAACACCCCCCCCTAGAGACGATCCTGGCTACGCCACTGACTCCACAAACTATACGTTTCATGTACTGAAGTCTAAATGATTCCCTTCTATTGTCTAGCCCTTCTCATTTTTCACTAGTTAGCTTTATATTCACTCTGAATTTAATTGCTATTTATGATCTGAGCTGTTGCCTCACAGTTTAATTAATAAAACGTCTCGGCACGAAATGCTAGCCAAATGGTGGCGCTAGTCAAATGGTAGCGCTAGTCAAATGGTAGCGCTATCCAAATGGTAGCGCTAGTCTGTTGAAAGTGGCGTTGCTAGGTAGGGTGTCACCCGGTGAGGCACTCTCATGGTGTCACCCCCCTCCCCCTTTTTTATCTGGAAATTTTGCAGTTGGTGTCACCCCGTCCCCGTCCGGTAAAATCTTCAAAGTGTTCACATTTAATACTAATGATGTTTATCTATAGTCGGTTGTTAATACGGCTGTGTAGCATTGTTTTCTCTACAGTTTGCATGTTTACGTCATGGTGTGTCCCCCCCCCCCCCCCCCCAGCCCCATCGCCATTATGTACTTAAAATATTGTTTAACTCTAATTAACCATTCACTGAACTGGCAAAAAACATTTTTATTCTATATATCTTGCGATTTTTTGTCTTGGTATCACCCACTCAATGGTGTCACCCGATGCGGTCCGCACCCCCCGCCCCCGCCTTGCGACGCCTCTGCTGCTAACTGCTTGTAGTGAAGTAAACGAACTAGCAGTAGTTGTATACTCTGTCTATGATCTGTTTGGTTTGTTGAGGTAACTTTTTGTTTTCTTATAAATGGCGTGTAGGCTAGATCTGAAAGTTGTAACCCATCATGGTTTTTGTGTTTCGCGTACTGGCGGCGATCTTATTAATATGTATAAGAAATTTAATTGTAACGATTATTACGTTTTTATTCCTGTCATTTGTTGAGTTAGTACTTCAAGTAACTCACTGAGCTGGGGGGGGGGGCAGAGGCGTAGCGAGGGGGGCGGGGGTGCGGACCGCACCGGGTGACACCATTTAGGGGGGTGACACCAAGGCAAAAAATAGCAGAATATATAGAGAAAAACTTGAGGGGGGATGCAAATCGAAAGTTCGAGGGGGGGTGCAAACCGAAAATTTGAAAGTTTGTCCCCGGGAAGGGTCGTTACGCCTCTGTGGGGGGGGGGGGGGGTGACACAATTAAGTGCCGCACCGGGTGATACCCGACCTCGCTACGCCACTGGGGAGGGGTGTTGTGATCCCATTCATGTTTAATTATATGGATTTATTTAAGTGTACAAATACCTATTAATAATAATACACAAAAAGAAACATACAAACAGTAAATTAAACGCACTAAACGCATGCACATAATCATGCACATGCACACATAACATTTTGCACATGAACTCTAGACACAACCAGAAAATAAACTGCATTTGCGTAATCAGATTAAGAATATATTCTTTTTAAATTCTTAAGCCAGTTTACTTCGGTACATCATTAAGATTAAAGGATTCGTCTTATGCTTATCCCTTTACAAACAAATCGATTGCAATCGCCTTTGGAAAAAAAAATATGATGATCTGATATGTTTAGCACAAAGTTTTCCCTCAACCTTGCAGAGACATCCCTCCACACACTTACATACATACATACAAATAAACGCATACACACAAACAATCACACACATCACTCTCGTGCTTGACGATGCGCGTCGTTCTAACAGTGCTGATCTTGTGCCTGTAAGAAGAGTCTAGAAATGAGCTCAACGGTTGTTGTAGTGACTAGGGTAAGTGTTTGTGTGATGGTGGGGAACTAGGAAGTACCACACGGCACTTTGTGTTTGTGTGATGGTGGGGAACTAGGAAGTACCACACGGCACTTTGTGTTTGTGTGTTGGTGGGGAACTAGGAAGTACCAAACGGCACTTTGTGTTTGTGTGATGGTGGGGAACTAGGAAGTACCACACGGCACTTTGTGTTTGTGTGATGGTGGGGAACTAGGAAGTACCACACGGCACTTTGTGTTTGTGTGATTGTGGGGAACTAGGAAGTACCACACAACAATTTGTGTTTGTGTGATGGTGGGGAACTAGGAAGTACCACACGGCACTTTGTGTTTGTGTGATTGTGGGGAACTAGGAAGTACCACACAACAATTTGTGTTTGTGTGATGGTGGGGAACTAGGAAGTACCACACGGCACTTTGTGTTTGTGTGATGGTGTGGAACTAGGAAGTACCACACGGCACTTTGTGTCTGTGTGATGGTGGGGAACTAGGAAGTACCACACAACATTTTGTGTTTGTGTGATGGTGTGGAACTAGGAAGTACCACACGGCACTTTGTGTTTGTGTGATGGTGGGGAACTAGGAAGTACCACACGGCACTTTGTGTTTGTGTGATGGTGGGGAACTAGGAAGTACCACACGGCACTTTGTGTTTGTGTGATGGTGGGGAACTAGGAAGTACCACACGGCACTTTGTGTTTGTGTGATGGTGTGGAACTAGGAAGTACCACACGGCACTTTGTGTCTGTGTGATGGTGGGGAACTAGGAAGTACCACACAACATTTTGTGTTTGTGTGATGGTGTGGAACTAGGAAGTACCACACGGCACTTTGTGTCTGTGTGATGGTGGGGAACTAGGAAGTACCACACGGCACTTTGTGTTTGTGTGATGGTGGGGAACTAGGAAGTACCACACGGCACTTTGTGTTTGAGTGATGGTGGGGAACTAGGAAGTACCACACGGCACTTTGTGTCTGTGTGATGGTGGGGAACTAGGAAGTACCACACGGCACTTTGTGTCTGTGTGATGGTGGGGAACTAGGAAGTACCACACGGCACTTTGTGTTTGTGTGATGGTGGGGAACTAGGAAGTACCACACGGCACTTTGTGTTTGTGTGTTGGTGGGGAACTAGGAAGTACCACACGGCACTTTGTGTTTGTGTGATGGTGGGGAACTAGGAAGTACCACACGGCACTTTGTGTTTGTGTGATGGTGGGGAACTAGGAAGTACCACACGGCACTTTGTGTTTGTGTGATGGTGGGGAACTAGGAAGTACCACACGGCACTTTGACTCAGACGAGCAGGAAATCGGTAGAGATTACATTACAGAGACAAACCTGCGAGTTTTATTACTTCTAACTATCTTCGATGTAGTTGGGTAGAGACACGGAGAGACGAATCTATAATTTTTATAGTCAACTTTTATCAGCTGCGTGATCTAACGTCTATTTTTTGCTACAATATAGTAACAAGATATTATTTATACATTGTTAGAAAAAAGTGTTTATTCCCTTTTGTAAACGGATGCCTGTTAATTCTTTGTTTTTACAAGGTGACTATTATTATACACTAGTGTAACTGTCTATTTTGATACAAATGAAAAAAAATGTGACTATTATAATCTAGTGTAACTATGCCTATTTAGACACTAACTGAAAGAAAAAAAAGTGACTATTTATACACTAGTCGAACTGCCTATTTTGATACAAATTTTAAAAAACCTGACTATTTATACATAAATGTAACTGCCTATTTAGACATAATGGAAACGAAAAAGTGACTATTTGATTTGGTTTTTGTTGGATACTATTTTTTTTTTTTGGAACTCTGAACGTTCGGTATTAAACTACAAGGAACCATTTGTGCTGGAGATGGAACTTTAGAGCCATACATTAATTTGATATTAACAAAAACATTATCTTTTAAAATGTTCTTATTCAACATTTTAAAATTGAGTAATGCATTGGCGCGTAGCTAAATAAAGCTATTTTAGTTCTCTAATTACATCTTAATGGATGGCAAACTTTCTGTGTTTATTTTTGTTGATGGTTTGTGTGTTTTGATCATTAGAAAATAACGCCAGAGGTTAATTACTGATTGAGGATAACGAATCAATTTGTGGAACCAAATACGTCTGTGATTCTAATCGCTGATCTCGATGTGAGGGTTTGATGCCAACCGTCTGTTGACCACTAGAACACTGGACATTTCTGCTCATGCGCTGACCACTGGAGTTGGGGACGTAAATCTTCCAGCGCTGATCACTGTAGCACATGACGTAAATCTTCCAGCGCTGACCACTGTAGTGAAGGATGTAAATCTTACTGCCTTGACCACTGTAGCGAAGGACGTAAATCTTCCTACGCTGACCACTGTAGTGAAGGACGTAAATCTTCCTACGCTGACCACTGTAGTGAAGGACGTAAATCTTCCTACGCTGACCACTGTAGTGAAGGACGTAAATCTTCCTACGCTGACCACTGTAGTGAAGGACGTAAATCTTCCTACGCTGACCACTGTAGTGAAGGACGTAAATCTTCCTACGCTGACCACTGTAGTGAAGGACGTAAATCTTCCTACGCTGACCACTGTAGTGAAGGACGTAAATCTTCCTACGCTGACCACTGTAGTGAAGGACGTAAATCTTCCTACGCTGACCACTGTAGTGAAGGACGTAAATCTTCCTACGCTGACCACTGTAGTGAAGGACGTAAATCTTCCTACGCTGACCACTGTAGTGAAGGACGTAAATCTTCCTACGCTGACCACTGTAGTGAAGGACGTAAATCTTCCTACGCTGACCACTGTAGTGAAGGACGTAAATCTTCCTACGCTGACCACTGTAGTGAAGGACGTAAATCTTACAGCGCTGACAACTGTAGTGAAGGACGTAAATCTTCCTACGCTGACCACTGTAGTGAAGGACGTAAATCTTACAGCGCTGACAACTGTAGTGAAGGACGTAAATCTTCCTACGCTGACCACTGTAGCACATAACGTAAATCTTCAAGCGCTGACCACTGTAGCACAGGACGTAAATCTCACTGCGCTGACCACTGTAGCACAGGACGTAAATCTTACTTCTCTGACCACTGTAGTGAAGGATGTAAATCTTACTGCCTTGACCACTGTAGCACGTGACGTAAATCTTCAAGCGTTGACCACTGCATTCTCTATCTGCGTCATGAGCAATATCTCACAGCAGTACCCTAGACCCAGTTTACTGCAAGTTCTGGCACCACCATCGGTACAAAAATTGGCAGAAGTCACATTTTTGGCCGTCTGCTTGTTGGTGCTCACTGTCGGGAACGGTTGCGTCATCTGGGTCAACGTGGACAGGATCAAACGCCAGGGGTCAGCTCGACTTAACGTCCTGATGTTGTCATTGTCTCTGGCAGATATTTTACAAGGACTGTGTCAGGTAAGTGGGTCAGATATTTTACAAGGATTGTCAGATAAGTGGGTCAGATATTTTACAAGGATTGTGTCAGATAAGTAGGTAAGTGGGTCAGATATTTTACAAGGATTGTGTCAGATAAGTAGGTCAGATATTTTACAAGGATTGTGTCAGATAAGTGGGTCAGATATTTTACACGGATTGCGTCAGGTAAGTGGGTCAGATATTTTACAAGGATTGCGTCAGGTAAGTGGGTCAGATATTTTACACGGATTGTGTCAGATAAGTGGGTCAGATATTTTACAAGGATTGTGTCAGGTAAGTAGGTCAGAGATTTTACAAGGATTGTGTCAGATAAGTAGGTCAGATATTTTACAAGGATTGTGTCAGATAAGTAGGTCAGATATTTTACACGGATTGCGTCAGGTAAGTGGGTCAGATATTTTACACGGATTGTGTCAGATAAGTGTGTGTTGGGTTAGGTCTAATACACCGCTGTGCACCAGTTTCTAACCAATATGTTACTAACGCTAAAAGTGTCTTGGGTGGGTTTTTCACTGGGCGTCACACTCCCTAGTGACGCCATTTTAAGCACAGCTTTATTTGGCATTTTTTTCTTATTACATAATGTGATGACTACCCGCAAGTCTACAACAAAAATGTTCAGCATAAACTAATTATTGACATGAAATTTTATATTTTCACAAACAAGTTGTAATTAAACATTGTCTTTAGATAGGTCCAGTGTTGGCGAACAACATACGCGGCGAGTGGGTGTGTGGCGAATTTGTGTGTAAGCTGCACGCTGTGACACGGTCAATGCTGGCGAATATCTCCATCTCCACGTTAGCGCTGATTGCAGTTGAGAGGTGACGTCATTTTCATTATCTTGACATGGTGATGTCATTTTCATTATCATTACATTGTGACGTTGTTTTCATTATCTTGACAACTTTCCTGGACTTTCCTACTCTTATCACGCCACAAATTGTCCTGATCCCCTATGATGTCATAAATTGTCCTGGTCCTCTATCCCGTCACAAATTGTCCTGGTCCTATATCACGTCAATATGTCCTAGGTTCGTTCACCTGGACTCAGCTGACCGTGGCGACCACTTCACCGGTTACGTCATCGCCATGGTTCTAGTCTGGGCGCTCCAGTGCGGGGTCGCCGCTCCGGTGGGGATCTGGAACACTGTCATGTCCTACCCCCGGGTCTGCTCCATCCCCTTTGATCAGCTGACCAAGAGCAAGGAATACACAGTTATCGTTCGTGTTCTGTGCTACTTCCTTCCCTTGTCCGCTTTATGGATGTGTAATGTGGGGATTATTTGCAAGACCCGAGCCTCGTCTAGCAGGGTAAGGCTTTGAAATCATTTTCTTAAGTATCTTTGACAAGCAAAATTATTTTTCCTAGAACAAAGTCGACGTTTTGTACCCCAAAAAATGTGTATTCCACATTAGGTACCAATGGATATCATATAGAATGAACTAAGTTTCCAGTGTCGAAAGTATACAGCTGTATTTTTAAGTCTCTGCTTACTATTCCAAATGTCTGAGATTATTTTTTTTTCACTTAGTCGCACGAAAAACTACAACAATTATATATTAGGTAATATATTACAAACACATTCAAACGACGTTATTACAATAATTGCCTTCACGTGAAGAATGTTTTGCTATGATTTCCATACTTCAAATATGTCTTGTTCATAGATCGTACGTGCCATATTACTTGCGGAGAAAACGTCTTTACAAAATATTAGATTTAATATCTTTAATAGGGAGCATTCGGTCCCATCATCAATTTTTTAAAATTACTTATTTCTTGTAAATTCTATAAAAAGATTTTCCCGGCTTTTTGTAATACATCTTGAGCTAATAGACAACCGGTAGAGATTATGTACATTCAATTACAGCGCTGTTTGCGGTCTAGGCCTTTGATCTTCGATTTTCTATTACATAAAACACATTTCAACAAAACGATGAACTCGATAGTGAGCCTGAACATTCCGGAAAATATTCGCAGGACCAATATAGTGCCTGGTGTATAACAGTCGACAGTCGCACGACCTTACGTAGGGCGATTTTCTTACGCCCAGAAGTGGGTCAATATTCACATGACTTCAAGTAGGTCAACATTGACAAGAATTTAAGTATGTCGATAATCCCACTCCAACAGTAGGTCATATTGACATGACTTCAATCCAAAAAGAAGAACAGGCTGAAATTAAAGACAATGGCCTCAGTGGCGCATAACCAGTTGACACGTATACTTAATGGACACCAGCGAGAAAAGTCTCAAAGGTATTTGAGAGGTGTATAAATTCATTTTAAAATCTTGCACGGCGTAGTTACAATTAATATGGTTATAAAATCCTGTCTGTCTGGTTTTTTTCGGACTTTACTAAAGATTGGATGTATTTGATGTTTTTAATATTTTCGGTAACTAAATAAAAATTAAAAAAAAAGAAAAAACAATTTGGTTTTCACGTGTAATGGCGACATAAACAATGGCCGACATAAGTTTTATTGTACACATTGTAAGCTAAAAATAGAAACAATAGGTCATGGTGTTTAAATTTGCATAGTTATTTAAAAATTTGATCTGCAAAGTTTTGTAAACAAAATAACTATAAAGTGGGGCTGTCAGAAATCGATCACGGAGTTCCTGTACAGCCAATCAATGTTTGTCTTACGAAAGTGAAACATCGGGTTATAACTTAGGCTTGATGAAAATAAATAGAAATGTAGCCTTAAACTCAACAAATTATTTTCAAGTTCTCTGGATCTGCAACTTGTATAGCATTGATTCTAAAAATATTACATTTCTGAATTAATTTTAGGCTTAAGTTTTTAATAAAATTTTATCTTTTATTAGTTTTATGGTCCTAAATCTAAAAAAGCACATTTTTATTCCATGTCAACAATATTACGGAAGGAATCTCGTCAACTCGCTGGTGTCCATTGTGTTGGAGGGGATCCCTCCCAACATTAACATTAAGAACGAAGAAGAAGACATGATTTCAAGTTTGTCAATAATCCCACATGACTTCAAGTAGGTCAATGTTCCAACATGACTTCAAGTGTCAATAATCCCAAGTCGCAGTGCAGTTGATTTTACGCCCATTAACCAAAGTCGAAACACATTCCCACTCCCAACACTTGATCAATATTCACATGATGTAAGGAAGGTCAATATTTCCGCGTCAAAAAGAAGTTCAATATACCTACGACTGACGACCTTAAGCAGGTCAATATTTCCAAGTCACAGAACTGGATAAATTTCACACATACAAAAATAGGTCAATATTACCACGTGCAACAGTAGGTCAATATTACCATATGCAACAGTAGGTCAATATTACCACGTGCAACAGTAGGTCAATATTACCACGTGCAACAGTAGGTCAATATTACCACGTGCAACAGTAGGTCAATATTACCACGTGCAACAGTAGGTCAATATTACCACGTGCAACAGTAGGTCAATATTACCACGTGCAACAGTAGGTCAATATTACCAGATGCAACAGTAGGTCAATATTACCAAGTCCAAAGTAGGTCAATATTACCACGTCCAATTTTGGATCAATTTTACCACATCCAACAGTAGTTCAAGATCCCAATATCTAACTGCAGATCTATCTACCCAAGACGCTCCCAAGTGTGACTTATGTCTAGTCAATATTGACAGGTCCAGCCGCTGACGTCACACGCAAGTGCTGACCAGTCGTTAGAGAGAAGAAACAGGAAGGTAACGACCATTTGTCTGACCTTGGCCGTGGTGTTCACGGTCAACTTGACCCCGTTTCAAACGGCTCTCATCGTCATGCAGATGGGTAGGGCGGAGGAGGTGAGTAACACGGGTCAGGGAGGTAACATGGGTAAGTGAGGTAACGTGGGTCAGTGTTGTAACGCGGGTCAGTGAGGTAACGTGGGTCAGTGTTGTAACGCGGGTCAGTGAGGTAACGTGGGTCAGTGAGGTTACGTGGGTTAGTGAGTTAACGTGGGTTAGTGAGGTAACGTGGGTTAGTGAGGTAACGTGGGTTAGTGAGGTAACGTGGGTCAGTGAGGTAACGTGGGTCAGTGAGGTAACGTGGGTTAGTGAGGTAACGTGGGTCAGTGAGGTAACGTGGGTCAGTGAGGTTACGTGGGTCAGTGAGGTAACGTGGGTCAGTGAGGTTACGTGGGTCAGTGAGGTAACGTGGGTCAGTGAGGTAACGTGGGTCAGTGAGGTAACGTGGGTCAGTGAGGTTACGTGGGTCAGTGAGGTAACGTGGGTCAGTGAGGTTACGTGGGTCAGTGAGGTAACGTGGGTCAGTGAGGTAACGTGGGTCAGTGAGGTAACGTGGGTCAGGGATGTAACCTGGGTCAGGGATGTAAAATGGGTCACGAGGTAACGTGGGTCAGGGATGTAAGATGGGTCACGAGGTAACGTGGGTCAGGTAGACAAAGAGGGTCAGGTAGGTAACTGAAGTCAGGGAGGTAACACGAGTAAATGTGATGGATATAAAGCTGCTGGGAAGTAGGGGTCAGTATGAGAAAGTGTGTTGCTACTGTCGTGTGTATCTTTTCTTTACTTTCAGAAAATCGCCGTGCTGAACATTCTAGAATATCTTTGGCTATTGACTGTCATTAACTCGTGTCTGAACCCGTTTATCTACGGCATCTTCTTGAAAGATTTTCGTCTGCGGTTATTTTCGGTAAGTGTTGGACACTAACGGACGACTGATTGAGGAGTCAAACGTGTGCAAGATTACAATCAGATATACAAACGTTACAATATTCCAGTCAGACATACAAACGTGTGCAAGATTTCAGTCAGACATTACAAAAGTGTGCGAGATTTCAATCAGACATACAAACGTGTGCAAGATTTCAGTCAGACATTACAAAAATGTGCGAGATTTCAATCAGACATACAAACGTGTGCAAGATTTCAATCAGACATACAAACGTGTGCAAGATTTCAATCAGATATAGAAACGTGTGCAAGATTTCAATCAGACATACAAACGTGTGCAAGATTTCAGTCAGACATACAAACGTGTGCAAGATTTCAGTCAGACATACAAACTTGTGCAAGATTTCAGTCAGACATACAAACGTGTGCGAGATTTCAGTCAGACATTACAAACGTGTGCAAGATTTCAATCAGACATACAAACGTGTGCACGATTTCAATCAGACGTACAAACGTGTGCAAAATTTCAGTCACACATACAAACGTGTGCAAGATTTCAGTCAGACATACAAACGTGTGCAAGATTTCAGTCAGACATACAAACGTGTGCAAGATTTCAGTCAGACATACAAACGTGTGCAAGATTTCAATCAGACATACAAACGTGTGCACGATTTCAATCAGACATACAAACGTGTGCAAGATTTCAATCAGACATACAAACGTGTGCAAGATTTCAATCAGACATACAAACGTGTTCAAGATTTCAATCAGACATACAAACGTGTGCAAGATTTCAATCAGACATACAAACGTGTGCAAGATTTCAATCAGACATACAAACGTGTGCAAGATTTCAATCAGACATACAAACGTCTGCAAGATTTAAGTCAGACATACAAACTTGTGCAAGATTCCACCCAGACATACAAACGTGTGCAAGATTCCACCCAGACATACAAACGTGTGCAAGATTTCAGTCAGACATACAAACGTGTGCAAGATTTCAATCAGACATACAAACGTGTGCAAGATTTCAATCAGACATACAAACGTGTGCAAGATTTCAATAAGACATACACACGTGTGCAAGATTTCAGTCAGACATACAAACGTGTGCAAGATTCCACCCAGACATACAAACGTGTGCAAGATTTCAATCAGACATACAAACTTGTGCAAGATTTCAATAAGACATACACACGTGTGCAAGATTTCAGTCAGACATACAAACGTGTGCAAGATTCCACCCAGACATACAAACGTGTGCAAGATTTCAACCAGACTTACAAACGTGTGCAAGATTTCACCCAGACCTGACAGACGACGACAGGAACCAAACAAGAAGTTGTACCTACACCGTTGCCTTGTGTTTTGTTCAGCTAACGAGGGAGCTCTTCTGTCACACGGATGCACGTGCGGGCATCTCCACGCGCCAAATGCAGGTGAGTTATTTTTTTTTCATCACCTATAATTAATTAATATAATTGATAATTCTCGTTAAAGTTGGCTGTAGGTTCCGCTTAATTTTGATTATATTCATTTTTATTACAATAATACTCTCTATTGCACACACAGTTATGTCCGCTAACTCTTTTACCCAATTTAGCCACGAGTTGTGTACCCTGACAAAAGTCTGTCGTTTACTCTAAATTCAATTTATAGCGTAGAAAAAGTTGATAAGATAAAATGTTAAATTTATAGCTATACTCAAATTAGCATATGCGCCAATTATAAGTTTGAAGTTTATCTTAACGGTTAATTATTTTATGTTTTGACGAGGTGAAGCGTACGATTGATCGCCTCAAAGTCTCAAGTTCGGTTTAAGTCGCGATAGTCATCCCCCCCCATGTACCCTTGGGTCGCGACAGTCACCCCCCCCCCCCCCCCCGAGTGTACACAGCCGTGACGGATGCCCGGCTATATGGAGAGAGTATGGGACGGCGTGGTCTAGCGATAGAGAGCTAGACTGTTAACCCGAGAGTCTCGAGTTCGAATCCGAGTTCAAATCCATGAGTCTCTGATGGGTACCTAACTTACAAAGGCAGCTGGGCTGCACACTTTCCCTTCCTATGCCGAGGAATCTGAAGCAGATCTTCATCTGCCCCATGTTTCTTGGGCACGAACGGGAAATGATGATGACGGAGAGAGTAAAAGCGACTGTGTACAAAGCTGATCTTATTGTCCAACCGAACGCCGAGGAAATTGAAATAGATAAACTCTACTTCATCTGCACCATGGGCCTTAAATAACTGTACATGAATTTATAGGAAGTAAATTCGATTGACTCTATTTCACCTGCACTAAAAACCCTCCAGAGATCTTAGCGAGCGTGAGTCCCGGTACCCGTCACAATAGGGTGGAGGATGAGACTTTGAGCACTAGTGATCGACCACTTTAATCACCCAGGCTAGGTTCGATTTAAAGATAAACACTGCCCCCTCTCTCGTCTGTTGTTGCCAGAGTGCAACACTTTGATTCTACTTTCGTTTTATCACAAGGCCAGTATTGTCTTGAGAATTTTTGTAATGTTTTCTAACAAAAATAGCTGCAAGGTTTTGTAGCCAGCTTAAAATCTATAACCAAATACAGCCTGCGGTCTGGGAACAAAACACGGAGCTGTTAACGTATTGATGTTCTAGAACTCGACTTTTCATATGAATGTTTTTAATAGGAGCCGGCGATAATTGATGGTGTTACGAAACGAAACGGGTTATTTTATTGGTGTGAAAGAACTGTACACGTTTGTCTGGTACCCACAAAGGCCAAGGTCACTTAACTGGTGTGGTGTTAGCGGACTTAAAAAATCTATGTTGGTTGGCTAAACCAATGGCAGTGGCTAGCTAAACCAATGGCAGTGGTTAGCTAAACCATTGGCAGTGGCTAGCTAAACCATTGGCAGTGGCTAGCTAAACCATTGGCAGTGGCTAGCTAAACCATTGGCAGTGGTTAGCTAAACCATTGGCAGTGGCTAGCTAAACCATTGGCAGTGGCTAGCTAAACCATTGGCAGTGGCTAGCTGAACCATTGACAGTGGCTAGCTAAACTAGTAGCAGTGGCTAGCTAAACCATTGGCAGTGGCTAGCTAAACCATTGGCAGTGGCTAGCTAAACCATTGGCAGTGGCTAGCTAAACCATTGGCAGTGGCTAGCTAAACCATTGGCAGTGGCTAGCTAAACCATTGGCAGTGGCTAGCTAAACCATTGGCAGTGGCTAGCTAAACCATTGGCAGTGGCTAGCTAAACCATTGGCAGTGGCTAGCTAAACCATTGGTAGTGGCTAGCTAAACCATTGGCAGTGGCTAGCTAATCCATTGGCAGTGGCTAGCTAAACCATTGGCAGTGGCTAGCTAAACCATTGGTAGTGGCTAGCTAAACCATTGGTAGTGGCTAGCTAAACCATTGGTAGTGGCTAGCTAAACCATTGGTAGTGGCTAGCTAAACCATTGGCAGTGGCTAGCTAATCCATTGGCAGTGGCTAGCTAAACCATTGGCAGTGGCTAGCTAAACCATTGGTAGTGGCTAGCTAAACCATTGGTAGTGGCTAGCTAAACCATTGGTAGTGGCTAGCTAAACCATTGGTAGTGGCTAGCTAAACCATTGGTAGTGGCTAGCTAACCTAGTAGCAGTGGCTAGCTAAACCATTGGCAGTGGCTAGCTAAACTATTGGCAGTGGCTAGCTAAACCATTGGCAGTGGTTAGCTAAACCAGTAGATCACTGGACTCTATCCAAACTTAGCGCATGCGAAAGATAGAAGTCTTAGTCTTACGATCTCAAATGATAGACTACTAGGAGAGAAGGAAATGGTAGTAGTATCCGAAATAATAGAAAAATGAAGATGGCGATGGATTCTTGGAATAAATCAAGCTGATATCCCAGAAATGGTGCTAAACTGGACGCCTCGAGGAAAAAAAAGCAAGTGGGGCCAAGGGAGACGTGGAGGCGTATGTCCGGGAAGTAGCTGACAGAGGTATAACCGTCATGTGGGACTGCCAGGAAAATTACCGGTGACCGAAAAATAATTGGAGGAAGCCTTCTGTGGCGTTCGCATTTTTTTTTTAGGCACAATAAAGGAATAGATGATTATCTATAGAAGTGAGTTGCTAAATTTTTGGCTAGCGAAATTTTTGGCTAGGGAACTCGTTGGCTAAAAATTCGGCAAATTAAATCTACGGCTAGCTAAATTTGCGGCTAGTTAAAAAATGTAGTTAGCTAAATGTGTACGTATAATATAAATCTGATAAGTTTAAATTTAGTCTTAATTCCTAATTAATTGCCTTATTACTACAGATATGTAGGCCTATATATGCTTTAATACGCAGTCTCGAGTGCCTACTCCACTTCATACTTCATCTTTACTTACTTATCATTTCTTCAATTGGTATTAAGTAAAACATCTCCAAACATTAAATAGCTAGATGCGCAGGATTCTTTTTAGACATTTCTAGTTCTTGTAGGCATACGCTCAGCTATGTGCCTTTTATAAAAAAAAAACTTAAGAAAATAATCATTAACTCCGCACTTATAAATATTAAAATAAAACATTTATTTAAAAATCGTTTAAAAAAAAAAAATTAGCCAGTTAAAATTTCTAAACGTAGCAGCTGAAATGAAAATTGACGTTTTCCAACTTTCACCCAAGTGAAAAAGTCTATAAAAATTACCCCGTGAACCAGTATGATTATATGTAACAGTGCGTGTAATTTTAACCATCGCAGCAGTTTTATAAAAAAAAAAACTCAACCCCGCCACGGCAACATTTTTGTAAGGATAGCGGCATAAATAGATGGATGCTAATGTGGCGGGTGATTGGATAATTCGCGCGCTACACCAACCTGTTTGGTACAGGCTCGCTTCGATCCGCGGGTTGTCGTTCTTAGCTTGTTTACACAACACTCGGTTATCGAACTTGTTTTGCACAGAATATTAATGAAAATTTGCATCTGGCCTAATTGAACCAAATGAATCGGTCTCGTTAAACTTAGTTAACCGGACTAATTAAAACTTAGTTAACCGGGCTAATTAAACCTAGTTTAATTAAAACAGGTTAACTGGCATAATTCAAACGGTTTAAACGTGTTAGTGGACAAACTGCCGTTGTGGTTAAACAACCTGTGGTTAAACCACATGTGGCCAAGGCTCCGAGGTGGTCAACCCCCCTCCACTGATTCTAGGCCTTTGCTGTTTAAATTTCTGTTTATATAACTAAGGCGTCGCTTCTCCTGATCGGTTGTGGGGAAAAAGGCACAGGAAAAAAGTCACAGGAAAAAAGTCACAGGAAAAAAAGTCACAGGAAAAAAAGTCACAGGAAAAAAAGTCACAGGAAAAAAAGTCACAGGAAAAAAAGTCACAGGAAAAAAAGTCACAGGAAAAAAAGTCACAGGAAAAAAAGTCACAGGAAAAAAAGTCACAGGAAAAAAAGTCACAGGAAAAAAGTCACAGGAAAAAAGGCACAGGAAAAAAGTCACAGGAAAAAAAGTCACAGGAAAAAAAGTCACAGGAAAAAAAGTCACAGGAAAAAAGTCACAGGAAAAAAGTCACAGGAAAAAAAAGTCACAGGAAAAAAGGCACAGGAAAAAAGTCACAGGAAAAAAGATCTATATGTTTGCATGTAATTTGTTAATACTTTTATGTGTTAAATATTCAGCCAGTGCAAATCAACTTAGATTAATTTAACTGTAATGTAGTGTAAAAAGTTTCCCTTTCAAACCTGACGGTCTATGGGGCAAGTGAAGGTCACTTGTAATGTAGTGTGCGTAGGTTGTATTTGTATAGTAATATTTATAGCAAAGGTAAAAGTATTTAGAATGATGTGTGTAGGCTTTAATTCTGCTATATATATAATATCTAATATAATGTAATAGAATGTTCCTGCCTTCTCGGCTTTCATCGTGTCTTTTAAGTTAGCGTAAAATGGCATAGACGTTGCTAATCTGACTTGCTGCCCTCAACTCACCGCAACAATAGTTCAACCACCTTTTCTGACCACATTCATCACGTTCATTACGTAAGAAAGCAAATGATCAAACAGAAAGCCGACACGGTACAGAGGCTTGCTTTGACGCAAAACGTCAACAACACACAATATGGATGGACAATGCCGACTGAGCAGAAGCCGACCAAGGATTGGCCAACGGCAAAAACAAATATGCAAAACACAATGATGTGCCAAAATTTCTTTTGTAATTAATTTCTCTACCGTGTGTTTAAATACGTAACAAAATTTGAGGTTGCTGTGTAAATTACGTCATATTATTTTCACGTATTATTGTTATAAATCATAATTTTTATGTTTATAAAATGCTACCAAAAACAAAAACATCCCACACCAATAAACACCCACAATTTTACAATTCCAAACAAATCAAAATATTTCTTAAGATTTGTGACTTCTGTGACTTTATTTCTGTGACTTTTTTCCGATAACATTTTTCCTTTGTGACTTTTTTCCTGTATCTTTTTTCCTAACAAAAACTTACTTTTTTTCTGTTTTTTTTTCCTGTGACTTTTTCCGTTCACCCTCCTAATCACCCAGTAGCTACACCACTGCCCATGTTAAATCAATACTTTGTTAAAATTTCCCGACTAAAATCTCAATCAAGTTCAAGATAAACTAAAGTAAAACAGACCAGTGTACTCGCGCGAAACAAAGCCTTTTTAAAACTCTTCAGTGCTTCCGTCATCCAATTTATTGCTTGTAAAACATTTTAATAACCTGATGTGCTTCCCAATTAATTACGTCTTTAATTACAGATGTCAAGTCAGATTACAGACCCAGGCCGGCAACTGACCCACAACACAATAAGCATACAACACATCGCAGCTACACAGCCACCTGTTACACACTCGGGTCAACATTCTTTGGCTTAAGTCGTGAGCTAGGAGGAAGGACTGAACAATGTGGCTGGCGGCTATAGCTAATTAGATATCAATTTTATGGCTCTAGCTATCTAGCTAATTAGCTATCAACTTCATGGGTCTAGCTATCTACTATCTAATTACGTATCGACTTCAGGGACTAGCTATCTACTAGCTAATTAGCTATCGACTAACTAATTACCGGTATCCAAGTTAGCTATGGCCATCCTACTTGTCGCTTTAGGCAAGCTATCGACCTACAAATACAATTGAAGCCATCAATATAAAACGAGCAACAACCAGTGGCGTAGCTAGGAGAGGGCGGGTGGGGCGACCGCCACGGGCGCCGACCCTAAGGGGGCGCCAAAAGGGGTGGGAAAATCTCATTTTAAGCTAAAGTATAATTATCCACAGTCAAATAGAAAATGTTACGGGATAGTAACTGGTTAGAAGCGTCGCAAACCATTCCAATTGTCACCGACAAGTATAACTTTATATAGAAATGTGAGGGAGGGGCGCAAAATTAATAGCCCGCCCCCGGCGCGATAATAGGTCGCTACGCCTCTGGTAACAACGCAATCCAAATGTCTGATGTGTCGCCTCGTATCATTGAGGTTAATTAAGGCAGCACACTTGATGCACACAGCTACAGGCATAACACATTTGAAAGGCTCAAGACAGTTTTTAGCCACACTTACCAACACAAGCTTAGTTTGACAGCCCTAAAAACATTGCTGATTGACAGTTTGAACCACGTCAGGTGAATTTAATCCTCGTATTTAATCACCTGTCAACTCGAACTTTGCGTCTAAAATTAGAGCACTCACTAAATTGAAACCAAGACGCATTCTCATTGGGAGTGTTGCAAAATATTTTTATTATAATCTGATCCAAGAAACTTGTTTGATTGGGTTCTGGTTACAAAACATCCAATGTGTGGTAGATGCAGACCGCTACGCTTGACTGGCGACGGAAGTGACGCAAGGTGCAGACTAGACTGGGTTGGCGAGTCCGATGACGCAGCATGCCAGACGTGACCCAGCGTTTCCGTTGAGCAGACTGGCTGGGTTCCCGCCCCGCCCGAGGTCGTCTGCCTTAGCGTGAACCTGTGTGGGGGTCAGAAAAAATAGTGCGTGTAATTGTGTATGTGTGTGTGTGGGGGGGGGGGGGTGCGTGAACCTGTGTGGGGGTCAAACCAAATGGTGCATGAACCTTTGGGGGGGGGGGGGGGTCAAACCAAACGGTGCGTGAACCTGTGTGGGGGTCAGAACAAGTAGTGCATGTAATTGTGTGTGTGTGTGGGGGGGGGTCATAACAAATGGTGCGTGAATCTGTGGGGGTCAAACCAAGTGTGTGAACCTTTGGGGTGGGGGGTCAAACCAAATGGTGCGTGAACCTTTGGTGGTTCAAAAATGGTGCGTGAACCTTTGGGGGGGTCAAAGCAAATTGTGCGTGAACCTTTGGGGGGGTCAAAGCAAATGGTGCGTGAACCTTTGGGGGGGGGGGTCAAACCAAATGGTGCGTGAACCTTTGGTGGGTCAAAAATGGTGCGTGAACCTTTGGGGGGGTCAAAGCAAATTGTGCGTGAACCTTTGGGGGGGGTCAAACCAAATGGTGCGTGAACCTTTGGGGGGGTCAAACCAAATGGTGCGTGAACCAGTTTAACAGTTAACATACAAAGCGTATGAATAAAGATGATATAATAATTTCATTTTCATGGTTGTTGCTTAAATATGTGTAAAGTAAGAAATTAATTAAAACTTTACATGATGCAATGATGGTTGTGCGTTTTTTAAATTTATTGTAAATAATATGTACCCTAATAGTTGATAAACACTTATGTCTACATCAGTAGCAGTGTTTCTTCCAGACTTATTTCTCTCCTGTGGGGGGGGGGGGCACTTGATATTTTCAAGAAGGTAGAGGGGGGAGGGGCGGACACTTAAAAGTAGAAGAGCTAAATATGTATGTTCACATGATAAGAAGACCTAAATGCACATGTAGTCCTACCTCAGCAGCAGAGCTAAAATCACATGTAGACATTACCTCTGTAGGAAAGCTAAAACCACACATAGACACGACCTCTGTAGGAAAGCTAAAACCACACATAGACACGACCTCTGTAGGAAAGCTAAAACCACACATAGACACAACCTCTGTAGGAAAGCTAAAATCACATGTAGACACGACCTCTGTAGGAAAGCTAAAATCACATGTAGACACGACCTCTGTAGGAAAGCTAAAATCACACATAGACATGACCTCTGTAGGAAAGCTAAAACCACACATAGACACGACCTCTGTAGGAAAGCTAAAATCACATGTAGACACGACCTCTGTAGGAAAGTTAAAACCACACAGACACGACCTCTGTAGGAAAGCTAAAAGCACACGCAGACACGACCTCTGTAAGAAAGCTAAAATCACATGTAGCTACAACCTCTGTAAGAAAGCACAACTAAAACCTACCACAACAGCCCGGCCCAGGATAGAGAACTCCCCGTATAGAGAAGCACGTCGGTCCTTGATCCTCAGCTGTGGGATGGTGCCGTCAGGGCGCTGTCTGATGTTGCCCAGATCACCTGTATGTCTGCACAACACACAACGTTGACATGATGACATAAACAACGTTGACATCATGATGCAGAAAACAATTGTTAAACTACCCACGTGACGTAGTTCTAGACTTGGTCAAACTACCCACGTGACGTAGTTCTAGACTTGGTCAAACTACCCACGTGACGTAGTTCTAGACTTGGTCAAACTACCCACGTGACGTAGTTCTAGACTTGGTCAAACTACCCACGTGACGTACTTCTAGACTTGGTCAAACTACCCACGTGACGTACTTCTAGACTTGGTCAAACTACCCACGTGACGTACTTCTAGACTTGGTCAAACTACCCACGTGACGTACTTCTAGACTTGGGTAAACTACCCACGTGACGTACTTCTAGACTTGGTAAAACTACCCACGTGACGTACTTCTAGACTTGGTCAAACTACCCACGTGACGTACTTCTAGACTTGGGTAAACTACCCACGTGACGTACTTCTAGACTTGGTCAAACTACCCACGTGACGTAGTTCTAGACTTGGTCAAACTACCCACGTGACGTAGTTCTAGACTTGGTCAAACTACGCACGTGACGTAGTTCTAGACTTGGTCAAACTACCCACGTGACGTAGTTCTAGACTTGGTCAAACTACGCACGTGACGTACTTCTAGACTTGGTCAAACTACGCACGTGACGTACTTCTAGACTTGGTCAAACCACCCACGTGACGTAGTTCTAGACTTGGTCAAACTACGCACGTGACGTACTTCTAGACTTGGTCAAACTACGCACGTGACGTACTTCTAGACTTCGTCAAACTACCCACGTGACGTAGTTTTAGACTTGGTCAAACTACCCACGTGACGTAGTTCTAGACTTGGTCAAACTACCCACGTGACGTAGTTCTAGACTTGGTCAAACCACCCACGTGACGTAGTTCTAGACTTGGTCAAACTACCCACGTGACGTACTTCTAGACTTGGTCAAACTACGCACGTGACGTACTTCTAGACTTGGTCAAACTACGCACGTGACGTAGTTCTAGACTTGGTCAAACTACGCACGTGACGTACTTCTAGACTTGGTCAAACTACGCACGTGACGTAGTTCTAGACTTGGTCAAACTACGCACGTGACGTAGTTCTAGACTTCGTCAAACTACCCACGTGACGTAGTTCTAGACTTGGTCAAACTACCCACGTGACGTAGTTCTAGACTTGGTCAAACTACCCACGTGACGTAGTTCTAGACTTGGTCAAACTACCCACGTGACGTAGTTCTAGACTTGGCCAAACTACGCACGTGACGTACTTCTAGACTTGGTCAAACTACCCACGTGACGTAGTTCTAGACTTGGTCAAACTACCCACGTGACGTAGTTCTATACTTGGTCAAACTACCCACGTGACGTAGTTCTAGACTTGGTCAAACTACCCACGTGACGTAGTTCTAGACTTGGTCAAACTACCCACGTGACGTAGTTCTAGACTTGGTCAAACTACCCACGTGACGTAGTTCTAGACTTGGTCAAACTACCCACCTGACCCCGTCGTTGATATCCCCGTGGGTGACGTTGAAGGGGTTGTAGTGGCCGCCCGCAGACGTGCACCCCCCACTCAGGTCACCAAACTCGTGGATGTGGAACCCATGCAAGAACTGAGACTCCGGCGCCGACTCTGGAACTGCGCTGAACCCTTGCAGCTTAACGTCTATTTTTAGAGCGCTCCTGTAGGAGGACTGCAAATATTGAGAAGCATTTTGATAGTCGCGTACAAGGCTATGGGAACCAACACAGAAAAAACAGGCTGAAATCGGAGACCGCAGGCCATAACATGTTGACAGGTAATAATTGTGTTGGAGGAAATTCTTTCCAATATTTGTTAAGAATGAAGAATAAACTAATTAATTTAGCTTAGACCACAAATAAATTCAGCGTAGCTCCTTAATTTAGATTCTCCCATAATAATTTAGCTAAGCCTTCTAATTAAGCTTAGCTCCCTTGTAACTTTGCTGAACTCTAACTTCATAAGGTGATCTACGTTTTGCTATAGGGGTGGGAAGGAGTACATTTTGAATGGTGTACAATTCACACATTGTACACACGTCCCTGTCTACGAATCGTGTACAATACACACACCAAACACCCCATGCCTACGAGTGGTGTACAATACACATACCAAACACCCCTGCCTACGAGTAGTGTACAATACACACACACCAAACATCCCTGCCTATGAATGGAGTATAATACACACACACACCACCAAACACCCCATGCATTCGAATGGTGTATACCATGGGTCTACAAACTTTTCAGTCCGAGGGCGCATAAACTATTAAATTTCAGTTCGGGGGCCAGTTTCTTCCAGGTATGTCTGGGCAAAGTTCCTCAGCCATCACTAACAAACATTTTTTCTGTGGACAAAAAGATCTCCGCGGGCCGGATGAGGGGACCCCTGGTGTATACCATCCACACACACCACCACACACCCCTACAGACGAATAGTGTCCAACGCAATTTGAATAGCTCCCTTCTAGACAACCACAATAAGTTTTCCACCAGCTGACACATTTTTAATTAATTAATTAATTAATTAAGGCGGCAATGAAGTTAATGAAATTAGCTTTCCCAAGCCACGAGAGACCGCAGGAAGATACATTGACTTTTTCCATTTTTATCTAATTAAAGTATTTTATAGAATATCCTGATGGGTTCATGAGTTCCCATCGTCATACCACATTACATATTCATCCTTTTATAGCACATTGCTACACACATTTCTAAATCAAAACGTCAAAACAATTGTAATGATTTGATTGTATTCGTGTTGTAAAATAAATCTCACTAGTTGGGTGGCGTTCATTGCGACAACTGTTTCTGATTAATATTGATAGTAGGGAGCTAAAGCAATAAATCGGTATTTTATTTGAATAGAGCATTGTATCGAGTTAGTCACAGATTTAGCCGCCATTAAAGTGATTGGGTTCTGCATAGCTTGAATGTAAGAAGAATTAGATTAGAGCGATACTATTAAATCAGTCAAATGTTTGGCTAAATTTATACGCAGGAAAAAAAAAACTTTAAAAAACTTTTTTATCGACATTAAGAGTTAAATTTTGACAGCTAAAAATGCTGAAACTGTAAAAAGGAAAATGCATGTTTTGGTCAACTAATTGTTTAGGAGAAGCAGCCAATCAAGAATGTGTGCACATTACTTCTATTTATACACACGCACATACAGTCAAGGACGCACATATGCACACAGCCTAACATACGCACATACAAACATAAACACAGATACATTCCGACATACAACACCCAACAAAGGCCCACACATACAAAACACGATCATATTTTAAGACAGACGTACACAGACGTACACAGACGTACAGACAGACGTACAGACAGACGAACATACACCAGCTACAACCAATGGCTAGAACTGACCTGAGTAAAATTCACTATACCGGTGACCAACTGTGTGGACTGTGGGTCGGGCTGGACCACACACACGGCCTTGCGGGGACCTGCAAGTTCAAGGACAAGATAGCATGGGGTATATGCCTAAAGACATTCTACGTGCCCATGTAACTTGCCTTCATTCTACGTGCCCATGTAACATGCCTACAGACATTCTACGTGTTCATGTAACATGCCTACAGACATTCTACGTGTTCATGTAACATGCCTACAGACATTCTACGTGTTCATGTAACATGCCTACAGACATTCTACGTGTTCATGTAACATGCCTACAGACATTCTACGTGTTCATGTAACATGCCTACATTCTACGTGTTCATGTAACATGCCTACATTCTACGTGTTCATGTAACATGCCTACAGACATTCTACGTGTTCATGTAACATGCCTTCATTCTACGTGCCCATGTAACATGCCTACAGACATTCTACGTGTTCATGTAACATGCCTACATTCTACGTGTTCATGTAACATGCCTACAGACATTCTACGTGTTCATGTAACATGCCTACAGACATTCTACGTGTTCATGTAACATGCCTACAGACATTCTACGTGTTCATGTAACATGCCTACATTCTACGTGTTCATGTAACATGCCTACATTCTACGTGTTCATGTAACATGCCTACATTCTACGTGTTCATGTAACATGCCTACAGACATTCTACGTGTTCATGTAACATGCCTACAGACATTCTACGTGTTCATGTAACATGCCTACATTCTACGTGTTCATGTAACATGCCTACATTCTACGTGTTCATGTAACATGCCTACATTCTACGTGTTCATGTAACATGCCTACATTCTACGTGTTCATGTAACATGCCTACATTCTACGCGTTCATGTAACATGCCTACAGACATTCTACGCGTTCATGTAACATGCCTACATTCTACGTGTTCATGTAACATGCCTACATTCTACGTGTTCATGTAACATGCCTACATTCTACGTGTTCATGTAACATGCCTACATTCTACGTGTTCATGTAACATGCCTACATTCTACGTGTTCATGTAACATGCCTACATTCTACGTGTTCATGTAACATGCCTACATTCTACGTGTTCATGTAACATGCCTACATTCTACGTGTTCATGTAACATGCCTACATTCTACGTGTTCATGTAGCATGCCTACATTCTACGTGTTCATGTAGCATGCCTACATTCTACGTGTTGATGTAACATGCCTACATTCTACGTGTTGATGTAACATGCCTACATTCTACGTGTTCATGTAACATGCCTATATTGTACGTGTTCATGTAACATGCCTACATTCTACGTGTTCATGTAACATGCCTACATTCTACGTGTTCATGTAACATGTCTACAGACATTCTACGTGTTCATGTAACATGTCTACAGACATTCTACGTGTTCATGTAACATGTCTACAGACATTCTACGTGTTCATGTAACATGTCTACAGACATTCTACGTGTTCATGTAACATGCCTACATTCTACGTGTTCATGTAACATGCCTACATTCTACGTGTTCATGTAACATGCCTACATTCTACGTGTTCATGTAACATGCCTACATTCTACGTGTTCATGTAACATGCCTACATTCTACGTGTTCATGTAACATGCCTACATTCTACGTGTTCATGTAACATGCCTACATTCTACGTGTTCATGTAACATGCCTACATTCTACGTGTTCATGTAACATGCCTACATTCTACGTGTTCATGTAACATGCCTACATTCTACGTGTTCATGTAGCATGCCTACATTCTACGTGTTCATGTAACATGCCTACATTCTACGTGTTGATGTAACATGCCTACATTCTACGTGTTCATGTAACATGCCTACATTCTACGTGTTCATGTAACATGCCTATATTCTACGTGTTCATGTAACATGCCTATATTCTACGTGTTCATGTAACATGCCTACATTCTACGTGTTGATGTAACATGCCTACATTCTACGTGTTGATGTAACATGCCTACATTCTACGTGTTCATGTAACATGCCTATATTCTACGTGTTCATGTAACATGCCTACATTCTACGTGTTCATGTAACATGTCTACAGACATTCTACGTGTTCATGTAACATGTCTACAGATATTCTACGTGTTCATGTAACATGTCTACAGACATTCTACGTGTTCATGTAACATGTCTACAGACATTCTACGTGTTCATGTAACATGCCTACATTCTACGTGTTCATGTAACATGCCTACATTCTACGTGTTCATGTAACATGCCTACATTCTACGTGTTCATGTAACATGCCTACATTCTACGTGTTCATGTAACATGCCTACATTCTACGTGTTCATGTAACATGCCTAAATTCTACGTGTTCATGTAACATGCCTACATTCTACGTGTTCATGTAACATGCCTACAGACATTCTACGTCCCCGTGTGTGTTTCATCGCTTACTTAACTCACCGAGCTCAAATGTCAACACAAAACCATCTAATGGTAAACGTATTCGTGTCCGACAAATCAATAAGCTACATTTAAAAAATGGTTTATATTTTCCCTACCTGAATCCCACTTAGACTAAATAAAATAAGGGTAGGCCTATTTGTTAGATGGTGGCCTATATCTAAGTATTTAGGCTAGGCTTACTTGGGTTAAGTCTACATTAGGAGTTTGGTTTGTATTTAACTGCTGGCATTCTAACATTAAAAAAAAATACAATGCATGTGTTAATCCGAGTTATATCCATATTATATGTAATCTCAACGCTAATCCAAATTATATCCAAAATGCTTCAACAGCCCACACCTTAATTTCTGAACCTTAGCCTATACAAATAATTATAATGTTAATAAATACTAGCAACAACCTTATAAACACAGAAGAATATATTGTCTGACATGTAGGACTAATAATTCCAAAATTCAGCTATCTGTCTTTATCATATTAAAATACCGTAAAAACAAAAATGGGCTGCATTTATAAAAAAAAACGCGTTGGCAATTTTTTAATCGTTTTTTTTAAAACACACAAATTTAAAATTAATTAGTGCTATTATATTAATGCTATCGTAAAAAGGTTTTTTTTTTTTTTTACCTGAGTTGTGTGAGCCTCTCCATGCATGGGCAAGTGCCAAACCTGCGAGCAAGTAAAAGATAGAGGACATCTCGGCTTATCTAAAGAACCTGGCGAATGTGAACCACAGGTCCCTTAACGTGGCTTAATATTGGGGCTGTGTGCCTTAGGGCGCGAGTACGCGTTGGATGTCGGCCAACTCGACGTCTGCGGGTGTGGGCTGGTTCACAGATTGATGGTGTGTGACGGACCAGGAGAGATGGGACAGGTGGGTCAAGGTCAGAGATACCGCAGCCAAACCGAGTGAGCTCTTGTTAGGAACATTCACGCGACAAACGGTAAACAGTTGTTGCACGCGAGGTCATGAATTAAACATTTGACACTTGACCTGGGGATCAAACTAAGCATCCACGTGAACACGCTTTCAAATGTACACAGCGGCCTGAATTTTTCTATCCGCACTCCTCCCTACCCACAGCAGATGAGCTGGGTGGGGGAAAAAAAGAAATAGTTAACTTAGCTTGCTACAACTAAAGTCTTATGAGGTGGGTAAAAAACAAGGAATAGTTAACTTTACTTTAATCTGTCCCACGTTCACACAACAACACAACACAACACAACACAACGTTCACACAACACAACGTTCACACAACAACACAACACAACACATGATCGCTAAATCTGTCCCACGTTCACACAACAACACAACACAACACAACGTTCACACAACACAACGTTCACACAACAACACAACACAACACATGATCGCTAAATCTGTCCCACGTTCACACAACAACACAACACAACATAACACAACACAACGTTCACACAACAACACAACACAACACATGACCGCTAAATCTGTCCCACGTTCACACAACAACACAACACAACATAACACAACACAACGTTCACACAACAACACAACACAACACATGACCGCTAAATCTGTCCCACGTTCACACAACAACACAACACAACATAACACAACACAACGTTCACACAACAACACAACACAACACATGACCTCTAAATCTGCCCCACGTTCACACAACAACATAACACAACACAACGTTCACACAACAACACAACACACGTTCACACAACAACACACCACAACACCTGGCCGCTAAATCTGCCCCATGTTTTACGTTGTTTATAAGAAATTCTACAATTCAAAATCCGTAAAAAGGACTGAAAAGCACACGTTACACTTAACTTTTTCACATACAATTTAAACAAGGGAAGTAAGCTAAACATTTTACGATTCTAAATTGAAATACAGAGTTACTCAAATAATTTTAAAAATAAAATAAATATTTTGCTGTGAGATATTTTGTCTGAGATCATGTGTCCATGATACCATTTATTCTGTTGTATTTTGCCGTTAGATATTTTATCCGTGAGATATGTCATGCGATCATTTGTCCTGAAATCATTTGTCCTGAGATCATGTGTCCTGATATCATGTGTCCTGAGATCATTTGTCCTGATATCATTTGTCCTGATATCATTTGTCCTGATATCATTTGTCCTGATATCATTTGTCCTGATATCATTTGTCCTGATATCATTTGTCCTTGAGATGTGAGATATTTTGTTTGGGATATTTTGTCTGAGATCATTTGTCCCGTCACCGCATAAATTTAATTGAACGCATGCAATTCTGTGTTCACAGAAGCCCCTATCTGGTGATCGAAGGATAGGTTTATAGTTATGCTGCCAACAAGTTTTCAAATCTTTACGAAATTTCAACACTCCACATAAAGGTAAACACATTATAGGTTTCAAACACATTTTGGACAATATTGTAGGCCTCCTGCATTTTCTAAATTACTTTCTTTTCATTCAAAATTGTTAGGCATTTTACTTTTTAAAATATTAACTTCATTAATCAAAACGCGTCTTGCCAAATGCATCTCCTACACAATGGGTCACTTTTAATTGAATACTTTTTCTTTGGAGTGATTTGCGTGTTGCTAATAGTCATGCATATTGTACTAATGATACTAGCGTATAAATGTTGTACTATTGGTATTAGCGTATTATATAATACTATTACTACGAACGTATGTATATTGTATTTTTGTACTCAACATATGTGTGTTCAGAGTAACATCATAGTCCGCTAAGCAAAGTGCCTTCTCAAATTCTACCCCCCAACATACGTCTTGGCTGAGAGACTTTTAAAATTCAGATTAACTCTACTCTTCCCGTCCCATGGACAGGTCCAAAAAGGAATTGTACATCTACCAATCCCAAATAGGATCTCTCTAACAATCCACCATTACACCTCACTACCAATCCCCACTAACATCTCTCTACCAATCCCCACTAACATTTCTCTAACAATTCCCACTACGATATCCTTACCAATCCCCACTAACATCTCTCTACCAATCCCCACTAACATCTCTCTACCAATCCCCACTAACATCTCTCTACCAATCCCCACTAACATTTCTCTACCAATCCCCACTAACATCTCTCTACCAATCCCCACTAACATTTCTCTAACAATTCCCACTACGATATCCTTACCAATCCCCACTAACATCTCTCTACCAATCCCCACTAACATCTCTCTACCAATCCCCACTAACATTTCTCTACCAATCCCCACTAACATCTCTCTACCAATCCCCACTAACATTTCTCTACCAATCCCCACTAACATCTCTCTACCAATCCCCACTAACATTTCTCTACCAATTCCCACTAACATCTCTCTACCAATCCCCACTAACATCTCTCTACCAATCCCCACTAACATTTCTCTAACAATTCCCACTACGATATCCTTACCAATCCCCACTAACATCTCTCTACCAATCCCCACTAACATTTCTCTACCAATCCCCACTAACATCTCTCTACCAATCCCCACTAACATTTCTCTAACAATTCCCACTACGATATCCTTACCAATCCCCACTAACATCTCTCTACCAATCCCCACTAACATCTCTCTACCAATCCCCACTAACATTTCTCTACCAATCCCCACTAACATCTCTCTACCAATCCCCACTAACATTTCTCTAACAATCCCCACTAACATCTCTCTACCAATCCCCACTAACATCTCTCTACCAATCCCCACTAACATCTCTCTACCAATCCCCACTAACATTTCTCTACCAATCCCCACTAACATCTCTCTACCAATCCCCACTAACATTTCTCTACCAATCCCCACTAACATCTCTCTACCAATCCCCACTAACATCTCTCTACCAATCCCCACTAACATCTGTCTATCGATCCCAATTACCTACTCTCCCAATGCCCACTAAGATCTCTATACAATATTTAGATAGAACGAGCCGACCCGCGGCGCATCTTACGCCGCTATTTAGTTGTTTTATTTTCTACTTTTCAGTAATTCATAATTTGTAAATTCGACAGTACCACTTCTGTCACTGAAAATTTTTGCTTTAAAACACTATCAGTAAGTCGTTAAGGACGATAACCCCCCCCCCCCCCCCCACCCTCCTTTCCCCAAACCCATAACCCCCCCCCCCCCGTGAAAGCAGCCTCCTCTTAGCTACCTCCCCTAAGTTTAAAATCGTTTCAAACTAAATTATCTGCCCCTAATAGCCGTCACTAAACCCGGCTCTACGATTGTAATCATTTAGCGTGAACCACAGCTCACCAGACTTCCTAGAGAGGAAGAGAGGCGACTACAAGGCGCGCTTACAGCTTGGTGTTTTCTAACGTCTCCAGGAGGAGAATTATATATAAAGATAGGTATTTAGATATTGCAGAAATCTTAACTGGTGCAGATAAAAAATGGATTAACAAAAGATCAGGACTATCTTGGTGAACTTCCTAGAAAATTGCTATAACCAGCCAAAGTGGGCCTTCTATAACGGCAGTAGATCTATGTGCTATGAGCAAATAAACCGGGAGTGATCTCCCCTAAACTTTCTCGAATATTCTTATATAAATCAACAAGGGATAGGAACTCCATTTTAAATACTTTAAAATAGAATAAAATCTAGTAGAAAAAAGAATTGCACACCAAGTGAACGCCAAATGAAATGTGCATAATAGCGTGCAATATTATTAGTACTTTATAAATTTACATGCGTTTTTTGAAAAATCGGAAATAGCGTAAATTAGTACTTCCGGTCAACGGAAATTACTCAAAATTTGACAGAAGGTAGAGAATTAGATCTTTTTTTTTACTATCTTAAATAGCACTCAAGTTATAGGCTTTTGAAAAATTCAAAGTAGAAAAAGTACCACTTCCGGTTATCGGAAATCGCTCAAAAGTTGATACATATCTACGATTTTGATAAAATACTTGTATATGAAATTTCATCAACCTAGCTGTAACGGTACTCAAGTTATCGTGTTTACACACAGACACACATACACACACAGAGAATCACGGACATTCGGACAAGATTGCAAAATTATGTTTTTCCGTATTAGTGAGGTGTAAAACGTCGAGATTTGTAAAAATCTCGACTTTTTTTTTTTGCACGATTACAAGACTTTCTCTATACTTCGTATATACGAGAAAGTAAAAAGGAAATAATGATGATCGGATTGTGAGTAAATAAATAACATAAAGCCATTATCATACTTAAACAATCATGAGCATTTTTAATGTCTGATGTTTCCAAAAAATTTTATCACAAAAAAACTTATCTAGACAGTAAAATATCTGACCAAACATCAATTATTTATTTTTTCCTTGTTTTTCTTCTGACTGGCTTGAAGATAGCTAACTATTAAATAAAAGGGACAAAATCAATCTTAGATAATTAAAGGAAAATAATAATTGATTACCTCCCTTCAGCAAGCATGAAATTTTTACAAGCAGCGCAAGGTTTCTAGCATAAGAAATTTTTAAAATATCGTGAGACCCATAACTGACCCACACCACACATGGAACTGAGTCATGCCTCCCCCCCCCCACACAAACACGCACTACACCTAACATACTACTAAACCACGCCTCACACAAATCAACACCTCACACAGTACTGTCTCTAGCCCAGAGTTTCTTCCAGGCATCTCTTCGGGGGGGTTGGGGGGGGGGGGGCGCCGTTATTGACCCACACCTCACACTGACCCACACCTAACACTGACCCACACCTCACATGGTACTGAGCCACACCTCACATGGTACTGACCCACACCTCACATGGCACTGATCCACACCTCACACTGACCTACAACTCACACTGACCCACACCTCACATGGTACTGACCCACACCTCACATGGTACATACCCACACCTCACATGGTACTGACCCACACCTCACACTGACCCACACCTCACACGGTACTGACCCACACCTCACATGGTACATACCCACACCTCACATGGTACTGACCCACACCTCACACTGACCCACACCTCACT